GTCGACGAAGGGCTTTCAACGGACAAATTAACGCACAAAAGAAAATAACGATATCGATCACGCCACCATCGGTTCTTTTTACCGACGTCCCGCTGACTGTTCTCAGCATCAAATGCAAACACTTACCGTACTCCAAGTCATTTCGCGAGAACATGGCATCGTAGAAGCGCGGATCGAGGCACGAGTCCGCCTCGCTTTGCAGACTCATCACGCTTGGGGTGTGGCTCCCCGCCGATATCGGAACTTCCAGCAAGTTTGAGATCAGCAGCCGTTCCGGTGGTTCGCAGTTGCCAGTCGATGCTGAACTCCGCACCAGTGCTTTGTAGCCTAAACACACACGCGATGTATTACGTGAAGAGTTGAATCAAGGCCGCGAGGCGAAAGCACCGAGATAGTAAAGCCAAACGCTGACTATTCCCGCTTTCACTGCTAACTGCCAGCGCTTTCAAACACAGTTAATCATTATTAACAGTAACTATAGCAAGAATGTAATTAAATTTGCCGTCAGTAATAAATAAAAACGATTATTAATAAATTATTCGTTTCTGATTGTCTGCTGGCAGTCAAAGTTTAAAATTTGAAACCGTTAGCTTCCTAGATGAGTTAATTAGAAGTTGAACGGCATCAATATGTGCATACACGTAGCAAGTCAATTTAAATGAACTAGCTGATAATCACCTGCGTTGAAAACTACAGTCTATCTGTTATCGTACATACCGGTACGAACCAAAAGTGAGTTGCTGCTCGGTGACAGCAGGTAGTACCTCGGTTATATCGCACCGTCTCTAAACCTACCCTTGTCCCAAAGCACATACGTGGTCTGCTGCAGGTTTAAGTTATCCTCCTGGCTCATGTCTAAACTCTGAGTCATGGGAAGTAATGCGGTGCAAGATATTGGAAAGGAAGAAAAATTAAGTCTTTTAGCATTGTTTTACTGGTTCTCCTTGCTCTTGCAAAATGGTGCCACTTTCTACTCCTGCTACCCTTCTTTTCATGAACTTGAGAATGGGACGCGGTTCTCTATTTTGTTCAGAAGTATCTCATTTTAAAGACAGAATCGGCAGCAGCTATATGACAAGTATAGCGTGTAGTCTACTGTCTTTTTCTCACAGAGTATTAGTCATTTATCGACCCCAGAAATAAGGAAGCATAGTGACCAAGATCTTGGTTCGAACGCGTGACCTCTCCGTCACCAGTCTTGCGCTGTATCACTGAATTTGCGAATAACATAAAGATTGCCTTCTGTCAGAATCGAACGTGTACATCTGCAATTCAAAGCCAGCCGACCACCTTGACACCGAACCACCAGGCGATTAGGAGCCACAAACTACCGGCCTGAACAAAGGAGCAAATCAGCTTCTCCTTTTCTTCTGGTTCCGTATATCAGTGCGTCTGAATGTAGATCGTGTAAATATTCCATCTGGATCACCTGGACGACGGATAATCGACGACTAATCGCGCATTCCTCATGCTTTCGAGCCATCTCCCTCCAAGAATGGCCTTCTTGGCGGCTGATGTAACTTTCCTGCCGTAACACTTGGCTACAAGGCGGCGTAGTCGGCCCGCGAAGGTGACAGTCGATGAATGCCGCCGACCATCTCTCGTTGGTGAGTCAACAATATGCGGGCGCAGCAACATCACTCTTCTGATTTGGAGGAAATATCCTTCACTCCCGTCTAGTTTCTGATCACTGTGTTAGCGATGTGGTTGCGACGTGATATTCTTAACGTTCTTCTTTCCATGGCTCTCTCGGTGGCAGATCATTTGTATCTTCGGCTACAGTCAGTGACCACTTCTCACGTCCGTATAACGTTGCCTACAAGACAATAGAATTGAAGAAGTGTTCGTGGGCTTTTTTCGTGATGTTGACGAGGAAAATGTTCTTGATGGAATGGAAGGCGCACCAGCTCGCCATGTTTTTCCGTTGAATCGCTTCAGCTTGATCATGGCACATGTTGATCACTGTATTTATCTATCGACCTCTTACCTGAGACTGTGGCAGAGCACCTGGTTGCACTGTCTTCGTCTTTGGCAGATTGATCCGCAGTTTGATTGCTGCGATGTTCCTCTTCAGCAGTTACAGTAAGTTCTGTAGCTCACGGGAGCTTTCTCCAAATAACGACACGTAATAAGCGAGACTTGTGAGGCTGAGCTGATGTTAATTTCACCCTTGCGGTTCATCCTCCGGAACACCATTTTCAGACAAGCAGTGACGAGCTTAATGGAGTTGGTGTTCTCTTGCTACGACCTTCTTTATGTGCTTTGAAACGGGTTGCCCACTAACGCAGTCAGGGTACGCTTTCTTTAACAGGTGCCGATACCTAGGCTTGCCAGTGCGCATAAGCAGATACATATATAAATATACAAACGTGTTTATTTTGTAGATGGTATATACCAAAGTTAAAAGATAGACCAAAAATGAACGGCCTGGGCTAAAAGGCAAATTAAAATTCATTCCATATGGGTATTGACGGAGTATCATTATGAAAGATAACGTTTGTAAAAAATGTAGCTGAAGCGTGGGTTTCCTCTCCTGTGCTACAAGCTCTGCATCTGCAATAAAAGGTTTATGCGACATATGTTCCTTCATAAATATTAGGTTTAACAATATGAAATCTTACTGATTTGTTAAGTTATCAACTGTTGTGAAAAGTGCGATATATATATGCATATATAAAACCGACATATTTTCCTGAGCAGAAAATTACTTCCGTGAAGATACATCATGAAACCGTAGAAGGTAGGCTAAGACAGGTCTCTTTAATTCTCTAGTCCCTTGTGGAAAAAACAATATGGGCGATGAGCTTTGAAGTAAGTCTTGGGGGTTACATCCTCTATATATCCCTAAAAGAACTTACCTTTCGGTGCTTTTGTCGATTTGCGCAAAGAAGAACATTTCAACAAAATTTTGTTGTTCCATTTTGCGGGTATACACTTAATTGCATAGATTTAAATCTGCGTTTACCTTGCGGCCTCATAAGCTTATTCCTGCTCTTCGCCTCTGAGCGAGGAAAAGTTCAAATATGCTGGGATAGCCAGTGGCGTTCTGTGTTAACTAACCCTAAGCACTGTTAAAAATTTAGCAGCGCTTAGTCCTAAGACTGAGCTGTCAGTGTTCAAAGGGCTAATGTCTTGGCCCATTATTCTCGACATTATGCCGAGTTCAGATATCCAAGAAAACCTCGGTGTACAGTTGCTCCTTTACCAGATTGAGAAATCAAAGCTGCGGTGCTTCAGGCACTTCTTGTGAATGCCTGCAGAAAAGAGAGAGAAACAG